GGAAAGGTGGTCAGTTATCGTCACTCCAAGGAACTTGATGCTCTCTCAACCTCAGTTCCATTGATGTAGATTGGGGCATCTTCTCCTTTCTTTCTGAAGTTGATGATCAGTTCTTTAGTTTTGCCGACATTGAGAGACAGATTGTTTTCATTGCACCACGTGACCAAGCCCTCTGTCTCCCTTCTGTATTTTGATTCGTTGTTGGTTAGATATCTATCCCACTATGGTGGTGTCATCAGTGAACTTGTAGATGGCGTCCATTCGGAATTTGGCAACACAGGTGTGCAAGAAGTACAGTAGGGGGCTGAGGATGCATCCTTAGGGGGCTGCAGTGTTGAGTGCTATTGTGGAGGAGGTGCAGTTATCTATCCTCACTGATTGCAGCCTAAGGGTCAGAAAGCTGAGGATCCAGTTGCAAAGGTGGAGCCGAGACCAAGGTCTTAGAGTTTTAGGTCAGCCTGGTGGGGATTATGGTGTTGAAGACAGAGCTGTAGTCAACGAGCAGGAGTCTGATGTAGGTGTCTTTGTTGTCCAGATGTTCTAGGGATGAGTGCAGGGCTAGGGATATGGCATCCTCTGTGGATCTGTTGTGTCTGTGGGCAAACTGTAAGGATTGAGGTAGGTCGGGAGATTGGAGTTGATGTGGGCCATGACCAGCATCTTGAAGCACTTCATAATTATTGAAGTCAGAGCCACTGGGCGGTAGTCATTAAGGCACACAGCATGTGTTTTCTTGGGTACGGGAATGGTGGTGGTCTTCTTGAAACTGGTGGGAGCTTCAGCTTGTAGGACGGAGAGGTTGAAGATGTCGGTGAATACCTCCGCCAGTTGGTCCGCACAGGATCTCAGTGCTGAGCTCGTGACACCGTCTGGGCTCATCGCTTGCCTCAGGTTGACTCCCAGGAAGACTGATCTGATTTCTGAAGTGGTGACGGAGGGAACAGGTGTGTCTGGGGCTTTCGGGGCCGGCGTTGCCACGCTGCTGGTATTCTGCTCAAACCGAGCATGGAAATCATTGAGCATGTCAGGGAGAGATGTGTCATTGTCCACTATCTTACACTGTTTCATTTTGTATCCCGTAATGCCGTTTAGGCCTTGCCATAGACAGTGGGAGTCTGTTTGGTAGGTCTGGGCCTCTAAGGTGGTCCAGTATTGCCTTCTGGCCTCCCTGATGGCTTTGTGGAGGTCACATCTGGATTTTCTCTATTCGTCCTGGTCACCCAACTTGAACGCTGCACGCCTGGTCTTCAGTAGGGCGTGGATTTCCTGGTTCATCCAAGGTTTATGGTTGGGGAACACATGGGTTGACTTCTTTGGTTCACAGTCCTCCAAACATTTGCTAATGAAGTCAGTGACGGTGGTGGCGTACTCGTCTAGATTTTCCACTGAACACTTAAACACGGTCCAGTCCACCGAGTCCAACATGTCCTGGAGACAGTCTTCCGCTGCCTCGGACCAGCACTGTACTTCTTTTTGTGAAGGACTCTCCCATTTCAGCTTCTGCTTGGAAGCTGAGACAACTAGATTAGGGAATTCAGGATATAATCCAGACAAGATATTCCTCAGGAGTATATTTTCTTCAGACTCTAAGCTTCGCTCTGAAAATATAAACTTATTTCTGGATACGCTTTAATTAAAAATATATCTGTCATAATGACACAAAATCACTACTCCTAGTAATTAGTGAGGAAACTAGAGATGTTAGGGTTATTCTCCTGAGAGAAGGAGATGGCTCAAGTGGTATTTAATAGAGGTTTCCAAAATCATGAACGGCTCTGTTAGAATACATTGAAAGAAACTATTTGCACTGGCAAGTGCGTCAGTTAAATGATACAGATTTAAGATAATTGGTAAAAGAAGCAAGGAACATCTGATGAGGAATTCTGTTGTGCCAGAAATTGCTACAAGCTGGAATACTCTACCTTGAAAAGTCACGGAATCTGATTCAATAATAACTTTCAAAAGGGAATTGGAAATATTCTGGAAAGGGAAACCTTTCCAGAGCTGTGGAGTAAAGACTAATTGGTTGAGGTCTCATTCTGCCTAGTAAGGGTCTACGTTTACAGCCATAACTTTGGGTAACACTAAGAGGTAGAGACAGAGATTTGTTGTATTTACCTATTTATCGCAAATTGTTTCAGAAGTGAAATAAAACAATTGTCAGCACCAATGACATGGGCGGCAGTGGTTAGCACTGATGCCTCACAGCACCAGGGACCCGGTGACTGAGTGTGTGGAGTTTATACATTCTCCCCGTGTCTGTGCGCGTGTCTACCGGGTGCTCTGGTTTCCTCCCACAGTCCAAAGATGTGCATGTTAGATGGATTGGAAATGCTAAATTACCCATAGTGTTCAGGGATGTATAGGTTAGGTGTATTAGCCATGGGAAATGCAAGGTTATAGGGCAGGGGGACGGGCCTAGGTCAGAGTGGGATGCTTGAGGGCTGAATGGCCTGTTTCCATCCTATAGGGATTCTATGTATGACTTCAACAAAGATCCAACATCCTTTTTGATTGACTCTTTGACACAGAATTTGCCTGTGACATATAATCCTATCTTCCATACATCCCACTCCCCATCCATCACCAACCCAGAGCATTTAGTAGATTACATTATAAATAAAAGTTAGGGGATGAGGGCCAAAACAACTCAATTTACTCTGCCTTACTTCAAAAATCTCAATTGTTGTGTTAATATAAATAGTATTGTGACCACATTTAAAATAAGGTTCTCAAAACAGACCTACAAAGAAGATTCAGCACTAATAGTTTCGAATGGATTTTGCTATAACTTGCTCAATTAGGATTATTTGTTGTACAATCAAACAATTTTCAATGAGTTTAAAATGGAGAAGGTGTTTATTAATTGAGTGGCAAGGGAATCAAGGAACTCATTTGGCATTACAAAACAAAAGGATGAAACTAAAACAGTTAAGTGAGCAAAGGACTGAAGGATGGCTTGTAATGCACTGCTGTCAATTTAGGGTTTCCTATGTTATAATTAGGAATCATTACAATTTCCAATCGAGCTTTTCTTTAGGGAACAATGTATAATGACACTAAGTAATATAAAGAATATCCTTTGTGTTTCAGGATAGCATAATTTGATTCTTTTGGGTGATGAGTTGCATTGTGTCTTCCTCCCTGTGATAAAGTATGAATGCTTGCCTCTGCCCTCATTAGAAGTACTTCACTGGCTCTAATGCTTTGGAAAGAATAAATGCAAATCTTTCTTTCCCTCCATTGTCTGGTTACATCCCTGGGCCCACGGGTGGATTTTATTTGAATTTTCATTCAAATGTCATCCAAGGACCTCCAGGGCAGCACAGCGGCAAGCACTACTGCCTCACCGCGCAAGTGACTTGGGTTCGATTCCACCCTCGGGTGACTGCCTGTGTGGAGTTTGCACATTCTCCCCATGTCTGCGTGGTTTTCCTCCGGGTGCTCTGGTTTCCTCCCACAGTCCAAAGATGTGCAGGCTAGGTGGATTGGTCATGCTAACTTGCCCATAATGTTCAGGGATGTGTAGATTAGGTGGGTTTGTAGGGTTAATCAGTCTGGGTGGGATGCTCTGAGGGTCGGTGTGTACTTGTTGGGCCAAAGGGCCTGTTCCCACACTGTAGGGATGCTATGGTGATATATTCCAGTGCTTGTAGCAGCCCAATCTCTTTAACGCAACATGGTCCAATAAATTGTGCAGCATTGAGATGAAATATCACTGCCATTGGTTGTATAGCCCAGCCACAACCAAACAGTTGCAGAACTGGTATTGTATATTTATGTGGGCATGTGCCAACATCAGGAAGACCTGTGACTAAAAATATGAGAGGCGTTAAGACAGTTTTCTTTGGAGCACTGATGCTATGTAATCAGCCCTGTGATGAAACATATTCCAATCATCAGGACCCAAAATTCATTTGTCTAATGCAAGAGATTCTTCTGCAATATAAACACATATAGGATTAGAATTAGAAAGACGTTGTTTTCATATTGTGCCATTCACATCCTCCAATCACCTCAAAAGAACCTCACCATCAATGAACTGCAACCAAAGTGAAATCACAGTTGACCTATAAACACCACATGGAGTGAATTGGAAAAGTGAGGTGTCCCTCCAGATTCTGGACCAACAATCCTCCCTTATCCAGAACCACCAAGAAGTAACTAAATTTGTTATCCATTTCATTGGTCCTGTGACACCTTACAGTATGAAACTTGTCTGCAGTTCATAAAGGGCTGCACAGCAATTAGTTGCTTGCAAACTGTTTTGAAATTGATTTTGCATTGCTGTTACAGTGCTGATATGAATTGATTACACTTAAACCTAAAGCTCTGAAATTCCCTACCTAAACTTTACCCTCTCTGACCTCCTTTCGGGTGCTCCCTAAAATCTGTTTGACCAAGAGGTTTAATGTTTGCTCACACTTTGTCAAACTTTGATTTGATATGATTTATTACTTCTACCACAGTACAATAAAAAGTGTTGTCTTACATGCCGTACAGGTAGATCGTACTATACAAGTGCATCAGGGTAACAGAACAGACTGCAGGATACAGTGTTACCATGGCAAAGAGAGATCAACATTAACATTTAAGAGATTCATTCAAAAGTCTGATAATAGCGGGGAAGAAGCTGTTCTTGAATCTGTTTGCACATGTTCAAACTTTTATATCTGCTGGACAGAAGAGTGTGGAAGAGAGTATAACCAGAGTGGGAGGGATCTTTGATTATGTTGGTTGCTTTCTTGATGCAGGGGAAGCATAGATGGAGTCAATGGATGGGAGGCTGGTTTGCATGATGGGCTCAGCTGTTCACCACTCTCTGTAATTTCTTGTGGTCTTGGGAAGAGCAATTGCTGTACCACTCTATGATGAATCCAGATAGGATGCTTTCTATGCTGTATCTATTAAAAAAATTGTAAGAGGCCTTATGGATGTGCCAAATTTCCTTAGCCTCCTGAGGAATTAGAGGCATTGTGGTGCTTTCTTGACTGTCACATCAATGTGGATGGACCAGGACAGATTGTTGGTGATGGTGAACCTCCTGTGAAGTTATTCAAATATTATTCAAATTCACTTTGTTATTTTTGGCTTACAGTTATCATTTAACCTGTCCTGGTTAGATCAAGTAACCCAACACCCTGCTGTAAAACAGTGAGAATTCTGCATGTTTCACATACCATGGTCAAGTCAGATTTCCGCACTGGATTTCAGATTGAATGTAAATATTCTCCGCAGGATTCTGCAGTTACAGAACACATGGACCTTTAGAAAGGAGACTGGGCTTTGGATATACGCCAGTGCTTCCTTATAATGTGCTCCTGGCTCCTCTAAAATTGACTAACAGAAAATTCCCTGAGCGGTTTAGTATGCGGGGGAAGGAAGTCACCTTCTCAGCAAAGATACAAACCCTTTAGGAACCTACTTTTTTTTCAAAAGAAAAATATTTCAATGGAACTATTTCAATGGAAATATTTCAATGGCGGCAGGGATTTGCAACACAAGTATAAAGTTGCTCCGCCAGAACTGAAGAAGACGGTCACTGAAGGACAGCAGAAAGAGCCCATCACAGCATCATTCCCAATTCGAATCGATGAGAGTGTTTTCGTGGTCTCTATCCGCCTCAGCGATAAGGCGATCATCGAGATTTTAAATGATTTCATGTTCGAATTACTTTTAAAGAGAAATGCACCGCTCCATGTTATTAGGACCGAAACATGAATGAACAGTCCGCCCGCAGAGAGTGGAAAAATAAACTCATACGTGGGAAATGTGTAGTTAGATGATCAGAACAATCCCGTCTCTTGTTTGTACATTTCTGGCTGAAACCAAGTGTGTTTCTGTGTTGGGTTGGTGTATGTGCGCCCCTGGCCGTGTCCCGTGTTTTGAGTGTGTGCGCCTGGCCTTGTCCAGTGTGCTGGTTATGTCCTCTGTCATGTGCATATGTACCGGGCTCTGATAGTCTCTTTGTCCGAATGTATGTGTATGTGTGTACACACAATCGATTCTGAAGAAGTCATACAAAACGCGATATGTCACCTCTACAGATGCTGCCAGAGCTCTAGTTTCTCCAGCATTCTCTGTTTGTGTCAGATTTCTAACAGCCGCAGCATTTTGCTTTCATTGAAGTGTCTAATTCAATGCCATTTCGCCTCTAGGACTGCCACAATGTGTGCTTGTATATATTTGGTTGTGTCCTGTGTATGTATGTGTATGTTTTGTGTGTGTCTGGTTGTGTTTGTATTCTTGGTTAAGTCGTGTGTGTGTGTGTCTGTGTGTGTGTGTGTGTGTGTCTGTGTGTGCGCGTGAACTCGGCTGTGCCAGAGATTCTGGCTGTGTCGAAGCTTGTGTGTGTATATATGTGCCTGGCAGTGCTGTCCTGTGTGTGTCTCTGTCTGGGTCTGGGTGTGTATATGCGCCTGGCAGTGCTGTCCTGTGTGTGTCTCTGTCTGGGTCT